GGAAGGAAGGAAGGAAGGAAGGAAGGAAGGAAGGAAGGAAGGAAGGAAGGAAGGAGCGGAACCAATTTCCTACCAAAGGAATGGTGGCCTGCCTTTCAAGGGCAGAAGCTAGACAGACATTTGTCAAAGATGCTTGGATTCTTCCACCAAGCAGGTGGTTGAATTTTATGGTATAAATAGCCCCTTCCAACACTATCATAGTCACCAATTTAGGTGGATTTAAAAGACAATGAAACAAAGTTTCATCATTTTTATTCATACGGAAATACAATTAATCAATCCATGAACTGGCTAAAATCCATATAACTGGTCGAGTAAGATTCCTTTCAGTTGGGTAAAACTCTACTCTGGACACATTCAGGCAACAAGGAAACTCCTCCCACACACTTTGGTGTAAAATATTTCAGTTAAAATACTGCAGAACCTGTGCAAGCACTTCGCCAGGTATTATATTCAAGTTATATTAATTTCAGAAACTGAAACATGCCCTCTAGGTCCTATTTCCAGGACAATCCAATATATTTAATGCAAACCTAATGAAATATATTATATATGGCCAGTCTTTCTACCTGCTTGCTGGTAAGCTACCTTCCAGAGGGGGCACAAATGGGCAGCCCCTGAGCAGACTAACAGATGCAAGTTCTTGATACTCTTTTTGGCACTACAGAGTAATAGGCCCAGAAGGCAATGCCAACAGAGGTTAACAGTTGAATTTTAATGGGACAGGTTTTTCAGCTGTCCTTGATGACGCTGAACATTCAGACCATAAGAAGAGTCTCCCTTGATCAGACTGACCTGGTTCACAAACTAAACCAACTAATTCCTGGTTTATAAAATAAGCCACAGCTGTGTAACTCTGCACAACACATTTAGCTACAAGACATGATTCACAAGCCACAACAGCTGGGTTCATAAAATAGAGAAATAAAAGCAAATAAATCATATTACAGCTTAATGCAATATGCAAGCCCCATTGCTGGTACTTCCTCAAACTAATGCCCTCCATATGTGTTGGGTCTATAACTCCCAGAATTCCCATTCATCATGGATATGGGGAATCTTATGAATCATAATTCCAACATACTAGAGGGAGCAGATTGGAGAAATATGATCTAATATAAACTTCCATATCTGACAACGGCAAACTATAGAATTATCTGTGGGGTCTGTGTATCAAAGAAGTCAAGATGGTGGCTGGGACTGAGCCCCAGCACCTTTTTATACGCGTCACGCACATGACGCAAATAAGGAATAGAGCTTCAACTGTGTGGTTATGGCTGCCCTTGACTTTTTTTTACCACCCCTACTGAACAAATAATTATCTGAACCAGAAGTTAAAAAAAGAGAATTCTCAAGGAATGTTTGCAAATAAAATAATGCCGTAGTTTCAAAGAGAAGTCACTATTTCAGAATGTAAGCATGCTTGATATTTTAAAATGCCATTTATACTTCTAATTTTAAAAGTTTACATTAAAATGCATGTGAAGATTTCTATTCTTATAATGCTATTAAATCACATTTTTACATTGTTTGATTATTCAGCCAAATTTTAGTACTTTGCAAGTTCCACTGATTTAAGGAATGATTTAAGGACATACATAACTCTTTCACTGAGGTCCATAAAAACCTGAAAGCACTTAACTTTGACTGGATTATATCCAAACTATTTAGATAATAGGTGCATTTAAAAAAAAAAAGACGTTCTTCATAATCAGCTTCAGACATTAGACATGGACAGCTTGCTTGTACGTACTTAGGAAAGAAAGAACTGCAAAGATTAACATTCCTAATGTGTTTCTACAGTATCTTCATCAAAGACAAAGCATTCACATTACTCCTTCAACAGTGTTGAAAGGTTTTTGATTACTGCAGTGTGCAGCTTTTATGTTAAACAGTTCTCATGAAGGAGTAAGTTGACATTTTCCCTTGCTAAAAAACTTGACAAAATACATTTTGCTCTTATCTTTATGTGGTTGGGTTATTAACCATAGTTTATGAAGGATGGATTCATACAACATGTAGCTAAGCCAAGACTAAACTAGTCACATTATGGCCAAGCATAGTATGTGAACTTAATCTGTACCCTCACTCACAAAATGTGATAAATCATACTATGGTTTATTTAGCTTTGACTTAGTGTGTTATGTGAACCTAGCAACTATGATTTGTAAAAAGCCATGGTTTATGGCTTAATGAGTTGCAAAAACCCACCTGATAGTGATTTGTTGAATAAACTATAGATAAATAATTCACAGCCCAGATCACTATGTAAACCTCAACTCTGGCAGAAAGCTGAGAAAATTGGCCACCTTACTACATATATACCCATCATTCTACTCCTTTTCAGGATAAACAATATTACAATACAAATGAATAAATAAACACAGTTTAGTTTCATTCCCTGCTCTGTTTGTTCCTGGGTGCATGTTTCCCCACGGGGCAAAAACAATTAAAAAAAAGTAATTCTGGACATAAAGAAAAATAAAACTAGACAATTTTACTTCTTTAGTTCAGCAAGATTCAAGGTTCCTCTTATATTCTAGAATGCTTGGATACATTTCTTGCTATTCCATGATGAAAATAGTGTTTCTTGCTATTCTATAGCTTTTAAATTAACATGTATCTCTAAAAACACTTCTACCTATAGTTCAGAGAACTGTATGATTAATTCTGCCTGCTGATCAAGATTTCTCAGATTAGGAGTCCAACAGAGTTGCAATATACAGTAATTCATTTTCAAAGCTTGTAATATGACAAGGAGCTATCTGCTGTTCCAAAATTCAAAAGTGTTGTTGGATCTTTGCAAGCCTTATTA